GATGGCCGGTTAGCTCACTGGCTGAGCGTGGTGCTGACAACACCAAGTCGAGGGTTAAGATGCCCTTACCGGTCATCTTTAAAAAAAAAAAAAAAAAGAAAGAAAAGAAAACATAATTAAAAAGGTAAAACTGCTATAAATAAAAGTCTAGAAGCCAAATGTGAATTTTAGGAGAACAGTCACAGTGTTGCTTACTCTTTTTCATTAGTGTAATTAAGATTTTGACTATGATTTGTAACAAATCTTTTCATATTTAGCTGGCATCCTTACCAAATGGAGGGTAGCATTGAATTCTGAAGAACATAAGTTCTATCCAGAAACAAAAAAATGCTCCTGATCATGATCTGCCAATAAAAAAAAGAAAAAAAAATTAAGCAATTTTAATATTTTGTGAAGTTGAAGTATTTATATTCTCAATAAAATAAGAATAAATTTGAAGGGTATCTGTATATACACTAGACTACTAGGATCAAACATGTCGATAAACACATCTACCTGAGAATATGCCCATACCATTTTCAATAAACTATTCTATTGTCTTAAATCTTGCTGTGGTTTCGAGAAAAGAGACACTTAGAATGGTCCTCTGACTTCTTTGCTATTTGAAAAGTAACTGAAAATAAAAATAGGAAATCAAGAGGACATTCATACAATCTTCCTTAGCACAAGTGCTAGGTGGTAAAACTGCCTTAAATTGTACATGTGGGGTTTATTTGGTGGGGAGGGATAGATTTTAAGATTTTAAACTTGCAGAATATAAGGTAAGAATAACAGACTAGAGAGAATAGAAAAGGTTGTGATATGAACAAACTAAAATACAGGATTTCACATATTATCAAATAGTGGACAGGATGGCCATCAAGACTGACAGACAAAATGTTACTCTTTAATGAGATAAATACTTTTTTCATTAAGTGTAACACAAAAATAATCCTAAAATGCAAGCCATTCTGAAATGCTGGTTTATCTGTAACTTGCAGTTTTAAAATAGAAAACGCAACAAACATTAGTTTCCAATTCAGAAAAAGAACAGATATTGAGGCAGTTTCCCTACTGCAAAGCTTTTAAAACTAACATTCCTGTATTTGAAGACATTTAACTACAATGTTTAGCTGAAATGTAATACTTTTTCCTGCTTACCATTTGTCTACAATGGTTTTGCCAGCATCTATCGATCTTCTTTAGAAAAAGAACACTATCCAATGAATCCATGAAATATATGTTAAGGATATTTTAAAGTGCATAGTACAAGTAATATATGCAATGTAAGAGCACATTTGTCTTAAATATGGAATATCCTACATGCTAAACACTTAACTATAGAACAAAATGCTACTTCTTAAACTGTAAAAAAATTTTAAATCCCACTAAAAAACAACCTATAAAATCAAGGTGTAGATGTAACTGAACATCACGTTTTCAGTTTATGATTTCCCTTAGAAGATTATCTTCCCTCAAATGGAAACTTGTTGGAAAAAAAGGGGGGGGGGGGTAAATACATAAGGACATCTTACCTACACAAATACCATATGTAGATTTGGACCCTAATTAAGCTGAAAAGGCAAAAAGTCTGTTTCTTCTTTCTCTAGAAATACAAAAAAAATAAACCCAAAATAACAAACCTATAAAACATAGGCATTCCACTTCAAGCTGGGTTAAACAGTGAGGGAGAGGGAGAAGACAGAAATACAAGATTTTTTGTTTTTAAAAGGATATTCTCTGAACTGATGAATCTGTGCTTTGATGTGATCTTCACAAATCTGTCTCAACTGTTTGTACAAGTTTGCAGAAATCTTGTAAGAACAGAGATTTTCTACAGCCTGCAAGATTAAACACATACTTTCTTAAGGAGAAGATGAGGAAGGGAGGGTTTCTCAATTATTTACATCAAATTCTTATTATTTTGATATTTCTACCACATCAGCTTATTAAAAAGGGTTATTCATCCATTTAAGACACAAGGTAAAAGAAAATATATCAATGTGGGTGGTAAACTTTTTCATAACCAATATATTATACCAAAAAGGAACGAATTAATATATTTATTATGGCTATACAGGTTAAGGATGAACGGAATCAAGCCAAGTTCTCCCCTGTGAAGATGTCCAATTTATAGCAACTGCTACATATGAAAGCTGTCTTGTTCTTAAAAATGTTAATCATTTTCACAAGCAGAACTCCATTTGGAGTTTAAAAGATAATTTCACCAATTGTTTATGTATCAGATGGGTCAGGCAGTCCTACTACAATTGAATCAGAATTTATTTATACTTTCTTGGGTTTTCCTGAAAGGAACAAAGCAGAAATTATTGCTGGCAGTTATTATAATGAGTATAATATAATTAAATCCCAAGGAATTTTCTCCAACATTTCAGTTTAAGAATAGTTAATAAATATAGGGGTTTTAAAATTTGCACCACTAAATAAATACTAATTACAAAAGATATGACTGCATTTTTACTTCATTCTAATAGTTGAATTAGTCTTTTATACTCAGATCCCAAAAGGAAAGGCTTTGGATTTCAATGAATTTCTCCTCATGTGTATCAAGACTTTCAAATTTAAGGCCGGCCCGTGGCTCACTCGGTAGAGTGCAGTGCTGATAACACCAAGGCCACGGGTTCCGATCCTACATAGGGATGGCCGGTTTGCTCACTGGCTGAGCGTGGTGCTGACAACACCAAGCCAAGGGTTGAGATCCCCTTACTGGTTATCTTTTAAAACAAACAAACAAATAAACAAAAAAAAAAAAGACTTTCAAATTTAAAACAACGGGTGTGGTAAAACTCTTTAAGTGAACCCTGATATAATCTACAATTTCAACTAGTAATGACTTAAGTATAACACCAGAATTCCTTTCTCACCACAACCTAAGGCAAAAATTCCATTAAAATGGACTCTAAGGGGACATCCAAGTTATGTTCCTTGGAGTGGAATTTCATAAATAGGTAGCTGAAAGTCACATTCCCAATAGGCAGGTCCAGTAAGTAAATTAGTAAATGAAAGAAAGATCAAAGAGAACCACTTATACCATCAGAGGGAAGTCACTATACTTCACCAGGAAACAGCAGGCCGATTACATTCAGTAGCTTTGGAGGAACGAGAAGGCTGAGTCTTCACTTTCCATGTGACCCGGAGTTAGGCCACAAATGTCTAAGGGTATATTTGTTCATTACACGTAACTCTCTGTTCATATTGGTCCTCTATGAACTGTCCCCCTTCCTCCTTTAGTAGTCCTCTCATTACATCTCAGTCTCCCTTTTGAATGACTTATTTTCTTGGTATTTCTCATTTCCCTGCTTAGATTCTGTCATGACTTAGTGCGTACTTCAACTTCTCCACATTTCCCACTTCTAGTACTTCTCTAAGTCCTTTTATCCCACTTCCTTCTGCAGCATCCCCCTTTCTCCCATAAAACAGTTCTCAACACATCTATTTATCTTCTCACAGAAGATATCACGTAACTTACTATTCAGCTAGGTCCCAATTATTCCAATAAATTCTTAGTTGCCTCACCTGCCAGTGATGGCACTCACACCAATCATACCACACTGACTTGTCACTGAGTCAATACTATTTATCTTTTTATGTGTATATCCTGTCTCCCTGACTCTCCTTAATGACAGAAAGAGATCACGCAGTCATTTATCTATAAGTTCCTTCATGTTTTTGTGGCTTTGAACCAGGTGACTATATTAAGTATTCAAAAAACTAAGGTATCTACAACAACTAGCAATGTGTCCTGAACACAGAAGGGGCTTCTAGCATAATGAGAAAACTGGCCAGAAAACATGTAATTACAACAGCATGATGCTATGATGGGTATAAGCAGAGAAAAGAGGCCCCTAAACCAGCTTTTTGGGAAGCGCAAGTCAGGAAAGCCTGGGCAGAGATAAAGAGGCGGAGTCCCAAAGACCCAGAGGGAAATTGATAAAGACTAGTGGGAATAGTGAAAAACAGAATTAAGCCAAGCTTTTTACACATTCAGCCTCACCTGTGTTTAGCTGAAGGGTAGTTTAAGAAGTCTAGGGCAAGAAAGGCAAGAAAGGCAGGAGCAAGCATCTAAGGTGAGTTTTGAAGGTCAAGTATGAAGGGAACACTCTGCTTTTCTAATTTAGCCTCCACTGCTTCTTAACTATAGACCAAATCTAGTAATTTTCCTTCCTCGACAACTTTCCATCAAGCTCTTCATGTACTGTTATGGAGAAATCCCATAATAGGTATAAACAAAAGGCAAACGACATAATAGTGTGGTACATGGTCTACTATCATTTATATAAAAAAGGGGGAAAATGAACAAAAACATACACAGTTGTTTTTACATACATTAAACATCTCTGGAAAGAAACCCCCCAAAAGTAGTAACATTTGTCAAGAGGAGAACTAGCTGGGGGGTTGGAAGATGGAGTGGAAAAGAGACTTTTTACTACATGCTGTGTAACACTTCTTGGGCTTTGAACCAGATGACTATATTAAGTACTGAAAAAACAAATACTTGCCTCCCCCAATAAAACCCTTTTTATCATTCCCACCACCACATATTTTAGCATGGCATTCAAGACCCATTCCTACCATTTTAGTCTCATATCCGATTATAACCTTCCACACATCCCATGAGCTAAACACTCTACTTTCCCCACTTTTGAGCAAGGTTTGTTTGGAGGAGTCATGTGTGCCTAAAACAGTGGCCTCCAAAACTTTCTAACCCCAAACCACAGTAAGAAATATATTTCATGTCACAATCATTGTACATGAAATAAGTTTATATGATTGAAACAAAATCTTCATGAAACATCATTACCATGTGTGATGCACTCTAATAGTTCCTATTTTATTTCTTTTAGAAAAAATGCTGGTCACAAACTAATAAATTACTTTCCTGAACCTACTAGAACATAAGTACTTTAGGGGCAAGGACTAAGTGACCTCTCTATCCCCAAGGAGTCTGTTCAGCTTTGCACACAGTAAGCAGTCACTGACTCAACAAGGAATGAGTGTTTAGTACTAGTATTAGTACTCTGCCTCCTCGTAGGTGCCGGGATAGAAACATAACAAAGTGAGATAAGCTTATTCCAGATCTTCAAAATATACTTTCAGAAATGTATTATTATTTTACATTTCACTAACTAAATAAAACACTTTGGAAATCCCTGGCGTTTAATCTAGTTTAATTATTACTAAAATAACCTCTTGTCTCACAGGCACCTGTTTGAATTAAATAAATTCTAGATGTTTTACAACTTCTTTAAATAAAACTATCTTGATACTTAAGCTCCCAGTCATTACTGGTAAATATGCTGCCTTAAATCTTTTGAAGATCGTCAAGTATAAAATACATTCTAGCAAGATTTTATCCTTTATTTCTCCAAATCCCAGCCCCTCCACTCCAAAATCCACACCTCACATCAAAAACATGTTTTTTTGTGGAGGGGGGTGGGGGGGAGACACTCCAAAGAAAATATAAACTTGTAGCAAATGTTTACTTAACAACAACAGACAATAAAAAAAAGCTACTGAATTCCCACCAGGGTGCTGAACTCTGGTCACTGACCTAATGGGTTGGTTCTTATTTTTTAAACTATGTTTAAAGACAGAAATGTACCACAAAACTTTTCAACAACTGATACAACAATAAAATCTAAATTCTCTCTACATCTAGTGGAAATAGCTAAAAGATCCTCCAAATATATCAAAAACTAAGACTTTGTAGAAAGGAAATCAATAATACAATGAAACCTAAATTACTTTTCTTTTTCAACCTAGTAAACAGGACTTAAATAAGACTGAAAATTATTAAGGACCAAGAATTTGTAATTGCACATTTTTTAAAATAACTGCTATTTTTAAAGTAGCAGTTAATTGTTACTGATTAACAATTCAGTAAAAAGAGGAGAAATACTAACAGACTAAGCTTAAAAAAATAAACAGTGTGGGCCGGCCCGTGGCTCACTCGGGAGAGTGCGGTGCTGATAACACCAAGGCCCCGGGTTCGGATCCCATATAGGGATGGCCAGTTCGCTCACTGGCTGAGCGTGGTGCTGACAACACCAAGCCAAGGGTTGAGATCCCCTTACCGGTCATCTTTTAAAAAATAAATAAATAAATAAATAAACAGTGTAACATCAGTTAAACAAAGTTACATAGAATCCAATAGCTAGTCATCAACACTGCTAAGAACCTAACTGCTCTCCTATAACCACTGACTGCTTAAGCAACCAGATTTTACAATATTAAATAACCTATACTGAGATATATACACTATTTGCTTCCAGTCTTGTGTTCAACTACCCTATAAATGAGTCATTAACAGAAAGGTTCATTATTTAAGATTTATTTCACAAAAAGCTAACCAGAGTTCTCATTATTAATGATAGACAAAATTATTTTCATGAGAATTGAAGTATGGACTAGGCTTGCCTTCAAAGATAACAGCTAGACATTTACACTAAGAATGTTACACTCTCACATATAAACTTCTAGCAGCTCCAAAAAAGATAGCTGATTTAAAAACACTATGCAGCTACTCACACAAAGGCTGAGAACATGAGAAAAATAATCCCATTATTTAAAATATTACTTAGTAAAAAACACACAACAAAACCAAAATTCCAACTATAAGATATCACATGTGAAAACAGGACACATTCTTGAGAAGTGCAGAGGGATGCTGTTCCTAGAAAGTTCCTCTCTTTTTCTATTATTTTTCAAATTTTGCTAATGGTGTCTACTGAAGCATATTTGGAATGTAATCTATTTATCAGCCAGCTGTTCTGGCCTAGTGTGGATTTAGAATTTAAAAATGTGTGGCTTTACATTCTAAAATAATAATTGAAAAATAAAAATTGTATATATTTAAGATATACAACATGATTTTTTGATACATTGTAAAGTAATAACTACATACATTAGCTTTTTTTTTTCCTTTTTTTTTTTTTGTCTTTTTTTTTTTTTTCGTGTCCGGCAATGGATCGCAACCCTCAGTGTTGCGCCCGTACCGGACCGGGACCGGCAACGGGATCGCAACCCTCGGTGCTGTGCCTGCACCTCACTCAGCCAGTGAGCGGGAACCGGTCTGTATGTGGGATCCGAACCCTTGGCGGGAGCGCCGCCCCGCTCCCAAGCGGCGCACTGTAGCAGTGCGCCACCGGGCCGGCCCATAAAAAGTAATTTTAAAATAAAGTTTTCTTTTTTGTTTAAAGACACAAATATTTATTATCATTGATGATATCAATGTATAGTAGGGGTTGTACTATGTACTTTTTTGCAATATTTTATTTACAACTAAACAACCCGGCCATATAGGCAGTGTTACAGTGTTAGTCCTATTTGTGGTTAATAAAAAACAAGCAAGCAACAAACAAAAAAGCCAAAAAAAACCCCAAACAAAACAAACCACTAACCACTGCCTCACTCTTACAGGATTTCAAGGTTGTCAAGGAAAGATAATTTTAAAACAGGTGCAATTCTCATTTAAAATTACTTTAAAAAGACAACATTTGCTTATCGTGAATGCACTCAGAACAGCGTGTTCTTTTCTAGAAATTAAAAACTTAGTAGGCAGTATATGAAACCCACACTAGCTTAAGCTTTAAAGCAAAATGGTTTTTCATGCAGAAAAAAGTTCTGGATAGATATATGCTAAAAAGTGTTTACTTCAGGGAGAAGAGGGTGGGATAAGGGTTTAGAGAACTTTTGCTCGGTATAACTACATATTCCTATATTGTTTCAATTTCAGGAAAGTAGTTTTTAATTACATTTTAATGAGTCAAAGATCAAATAAGCACCTGAACTCCGGATGATATGAAATAACTCTACCTCCTTTAATCTCCATTTTGAACATCTCAAAATAATCTTTCTGAGAATGATCCAAAGGAGCGTTTACAAAATTAAGGATAAAAAACAAAGTGCTAGAAACAAATGCTTTTGCATTTATTATCGCAGAAGCAGTAAGGTACTATGAAGAATGCACACAACAGTGAAAAGTTGTAACACTTGAGATTTTAGGCTAAAGAAATGCAACTGAACAAAAGCAGGTAAAACTTCTGAAGTACAAGAAAGTAAAAACAAAAAATGTAAGCTACAGGCTCTTGAAACAAAGATTTAACAGAATCAATATATCAAAAAATATTTTCAAATCAAAAGCTCTGGAAAACATTCAAAGTGAACAGGGTTTATTAACAACTATAATCAACATTTGTTATAAATATGAAATACATAAAGTAACACATTATTGAAATTAAATATGCTGTATACCAGCATATCCGAATAATAACCATATATGTGCAAGAGCAAAAAAATTACCTGCATTGGTAATAATGAATTTTTTCCTAAAGCAGAACAACTGAATTGCTTCAAACACTGCACTACGGTGGTATTTGAAGGGATGGGGTGTATTAGTGGGGCAGCATGGTGGTGAAAGTGCACTGGACTAGGAATTGAGCATCTCAGTTTGAGTCCCCCTACTCTGCCAATATACAACTCTGGGCAGGATATTTAACTTCCCTGAGACTGTCTCCTCATCAATAAAGTGGAGATAATAACTACTACCCTGTCTACTTCAGAAAGGGTTTCTATGATGCCTAAATGAGATAATATAAGATGAAGCTGCTTTGCAGGCTGTCACACACACTGTATGAAGATATTGGACCATGTGATCTCTCAAGGCCTTTCTAACTCTTTAATTCCATAATCCTACTTTCATTATTGTACAACTCATGAGCCATATATACCAAAAGAACTAAATGAAGTGGGCTTATCCATAAGTAATAGCTTATTACTACTACTACCAGCTAATATTTACATAGCATTAAAATGCTTATAATATTACACAGCATTATAACTATGTGTTGTTGAGCATTGTTCTGAGTGTTTTGCATGCACTGACGCATTTAATTTTCATAGTAACCAAAAATGGTGATCTCGATTGCCATAATGAAAGTGAAAAAGTTTCTGGCTTATGAAAAAGTTTGACTAGTGATAACATCATCTTACATGACTATTTATATATCATAGTGCTTCAAGGTGTTTTTCAAAACATCTTATTTGATTCTTATAGGCAACCCTGTAAGGTAGATAGGACATATATTTTTTCCCCTATTTTACAGGGAACACTAGAGCTGAGAGGGATTTAGTTCCTTGCCCAAGATTACAAGAGTAATAGCAATCAAAACTACATCCCAAACCTGTCTTCTGATTCCTAATCCAGGGTTCAGCCATCACCATACAACCTCTGCAAGTAAAATATGAAAACTACATGATAAATTGAACCAACATAATTTCTTACAAGGTACTCATCAATCCAGATTCAAACTATGAAGTATTTTCTTATACCAAATTGCTAGTGCTACAATAGAAAGTAACTTCATGAATTGGTTGTGTGTCAAAAACACAGTGGGGCGAAATCTCTTGGTAGCAAGATTCTAATCAGTAACTGACCTTGACATTATATTTCAGTAAAACATTTCAAGTAAAGACCCTTTTGTTAAGCAAAAGAAACAAATCTGAACCTCAGACTAAGTTGCGGGGCTACAACCTGCTGCTCATTTCTGGGCTAAGGTGTGTCTTGTAGCCAGGAAGTAAGACAAACATAAAAAGCAAGAAAAAGAAATGGCAAGGGGCTGACCCGTGGCTCACTTGGGAGAGTGCAGTGCTGATAACACCAAGGCCGCGGGTTCGGATCCCTATATAGGGATGGCCGGTTAGCTCACTTGGAGAGCGTGGTGCTGACACCAAGTCAAGGGTTAAGATCCCCTTACCGGTCATCCTTTAAAAAAAAAAAAAAAAGAAAGAAAAAAAAAGAAATGGCAAAAGGCTACTAATAGGAAGGGAAGGAGGTAGAATAAAGAATGTGAAGAATATCTGCCTGTCTCTATGCCTTTTCTGTAGGTGGGTAACACAACTACGCAAGAATTATTACAACAGAATGACACGTCACCAGAAATCACCTTTGGGATCCATGCTATAGGATTCCATTATAGGTAAGACCTCTATTGTACCAAGGTACACCTAACTATAATTCCTAATCAGAAGGGTCCAAGATAAACCCAACTTATACCAGTATGACTGTAACCAAAGTTTACATGAGAATATGTGGTCTGATTATAAATAGAGTACATCAATTAATGGAGAAGTTGTAATTAGAAGGAAACCAAAAGTCTACTTAAGGACCCATTTCAGAAAGTAAAATCCATATATATCCCACCTCAATTTATGTTAAACGAATCTAGTTACCCACATTAATACATACCTGGTAGAGTTCTTCTAAATTGTACTTAATTGAAGTACTATTCTGAATAGCTTCAACTGCTTCTTTCAGTTTCTGCCATGTTTCATCTGTGTAGTTTTCTGGTAATTTAGGCTTATCTAGGTGATAAACAAAAAGTTGGTATCGGAATAATATGTAGGATATATAACTGAAGATCCATAAAATACAACAGCATTACTATTTTTTAGGATAAATTGTTATCTTTATAACTATTACTCCTAAAGTAACCACTGTATTTAAGTTTAGTATATAGAATAAAATTTGAAATGCCAGAATACTGTTTAGGTTGTTTTGACTCTTTATAAACCTCTAAATCTTTCCAACAATGCCCTGAGGAAAACATTATTATCTCTATTTCATAACTGAGGAAACTGAGGCTGGAATTCACGTGGTAAGCTTGCCCAAGGTCACCATAACTAGTTGATGGCAAAGCTGGGATTCTAATACAGATCTGTTTGACCCCCCCCAGTTTACGCAGCATCTAAAGAAATGGAGAGAAACATCTTCACTCAGGTTTTAAACATTTAGAAGCTGAGTGAAATTTTAAAAAATTAAAACATCCAAATGACTCCAGAACTTATGTAGCATTTTCAGAATGGAAAAACGCATCTTAATCAACGCTTTTAATTTAAACTCTGTTGACCAGCAATGAGTGAAAAAAAATTTTAATTAAAACATCCAAATGGTTTAATAATATTTTTCCTTTAGGAGGGAGAGAAAAACAAAATCTCTGAAACCAATTTGCAAATGCAATCAGGATCATAGCTCATTTCTTAAAAAATCCTTGGCTATTAAATTGATATATTTTTAAGTGAAATAATGAACACATCAGTCAATTACAATTCTTATTCACTTCGGAAAGCTCTATTCTTAAATCAGAAATACAATACTCTTGAGAGTCTGGGGATAGGAGGGAAGTAACACAAAAAAGAAAGGGTTAAAAATAGACAACACCGTACCCTCTGCTTGAGACAAAATAAAGCATATTCCTGATTTCCATACTAATGTTGAAAAAACAGCATGGAGAACCTAATTTTCTCAATACTAATATTTAGCCACAAGGCACTTATCTGGTAAATATTACTAAAGTTCATTCATTCACTTCTCCATTTAATTAACATTTATCATCTATTACCTACCAGTTAAAGGTGTTGCAAAAGTCAGAAAAATAGAAATAACACTCAACAGATAAAAACTGATTTGGCTCTAATTCATTTTTAAAAATTGCTGATCTTATATTTGCATCAATGCATTCATAATACTCTCAATCACATATCTCATGCACAATATGAGCAAATTTTCTTAAAAGCTGCAGGTCAATACTTTAAAACTCATTTTAGTGATAAAAAAAAATAGATATAGTAATCGTTCCTATCTTTAGACTAGTGGTACACAGAGTTACTACTTCTGTGTACAGACAATATTTTTCACTTTCAAACCCTGCCTTTGGAAAGAAATGCAGAGACCACAAATATTTTTCTCCAAACATTGCTTCCACGATGACTTTCATGAAGATAGTACTCAACATTATAAATCTAATTATAAATCTTATTTGAGCATGAGAAAATCACTATTGCTACCTGCATTTTTAAGGAGTGGAGAATGTGGCCTACTGAAGCATAAAAATAAAAACCCCAGCAGTGCCAAGCCTCGCTATGCACCTGAAATAAATAAACCTCTTTAGAATACAAATCTCTCACCTGTAAAATCCGGATCAATCATACCGATTGTCAGTATTAGAAGGAATAACAGATTAAATGAAATAGGTTAAGAAAGATCTCAAAATACTGCACAGAAACACCCGGTGTATGCTTCAGCACAAGGATACCAACCACCCCTGGAGAATGAACCCTCCACCAAAAATAGGACCTCCCCTCCACCTCATTGATTATGCATAAAACGTTAGGCCATCTCTATACTGTTTAATATATTAACATAAATAGAGCACGTGACCGCCCAAGTGTCAAATCCTTAGTAGGTGATTATGGATTTTGGCCTTGGTTACCTTTAAAGTTCTTGATCACTAACTTCTTAGCAGAGCCAGGCTTGCTGTTAGCAAAGCTAGAGACGGTGGTAGAAGATTTGGCTAGGCCGTTTGCATGATGCACCGAAGCCACAGAAGAGATTAATATACTCTTATTTTTAAGTTGCTGCTGCTGAGATGTTGCAGCAGTTGGTGAAGATGAGGAGGAGGAGGAGGAAGATTCCTCAGCCATCTTCGCATCAAACCCTACAAATTCCAGGGTGTCTTCAAAACGCAGCTTCTTCTGTATCGGTACGTGGCTGGAAGCAGCTACTGAAACCCCCAGGCAGAAGGACGAGGTTGAAGGGGATGCCGAATCTCTGGGTTGTAAAGGAGGAGAGGAAGAGATGGAATCAAAATCTTCTCTCTCGTTACTACTGTTACTGCTGCTGCTACTGCTGCTACTGTTTAACTTTCTCTTCTTTGCAGAGGTGGGCGGAGTGGTGCTGGTATTACCATCAGTGGCAGATCTGACCTCCTGAGCAGCAGCAGCAGCTGAAGGATTGGGGGAAGAAAAACCTGTTGGAAACATGAAAATAGCGGGGTCAACAGGCAGAGGAGCATCAAAAACCTACGTTTATATGCCTGCGTGCGTGTAGGAGAGGTGGTAATGCTAGAGGGGGAAGGGAAGAAAGAAGAGAGGAGAAACACAGAGGACGAGAAGGAAAGTGAAGGGGGGGCCTACACCGGGGGAATGGGAGGTTTCGGAAGGCGGATAGGCTGACACCAGGAGTGAGCAGAACGAGGGGGGAGAGCGAACGAGGAGGCAGACAGGTAAACGGCCGTGCCGTCCCCCTCCCCTGCTTTTCGATCTCTCTCCCCCCCTTTCTGCAGGAGCGACTCAGTGAGTCTGTGAAGCTGCAGCTCCTCCTCCTTTTCTCCCTCTCACTGGGAGGGGAGATGCTGGGGTGAGGGGGAGGGGGAGGGAGAGGGAGAGAGAACCAGGGCTTGTTATTGTCAATAGCACAAGAGGCTAAAGATGGCGCCACTTCCGGTCACGCGGCGCCGAGGGAGGGGCGGCGTCTCTCTCCGGGAGCGGGGGGGTGGAGAGAAGCACTGCAGCCACCCGGGGGGCGAGGGAGCTGGTTAGTAGTGGGACGGCGGGAAAGGGGCAGCTGGTGCGCCCCAGACGCTCGCGCTCGTTCCCTCCCGCTCCCTCTCCCCTTCCCTGGCAGCACCCTCCTCCCCCGGCTCACCGGTAACTCCCACCCCCTTCTTAACGGTCCCGCGGGAGGCTTCGCGCCGCAGCGCCCTTACCGGAAGTGACTGGGCAGACACTTTTCATAGCGCCCAGATCCCGAAGCCCCCAGGTCCGCAGGACGAGTGGGGGGGGGGGCGGAGTAGGAGGGGGGGAGAGAAGTGGAAAGGGAGGAGGGGCGGGTCTTCGAGACACCTTCAGAGCTCCTGATTGGAGCTTTCTGAACGCCAGGCCGGCCAGCCGGCCGGCAGGGGGGGGGGGG